TCCTTTTGTCTGATGATTCTTTTGGATTCGTTCTTTGTTCAGGGAGTACTTCCATTTCGACCTTCCCAGTTCTGTTAAATTTAAATTCATTAAAACTACGATTTTCTGTTTTTTTTAAGTAGTTGTGCTTTATTATTTCCTTACATGTATGTGTTTTTTCGATTTAGAAATATTGATTCATCCCAATACTTTTAGGAAAACATTACGATTTATTTTTCATACATTTTGTCACCGTTTAGTTCATTTTTTGTCATTGTTTGATCACTGTGTCGTTCGTTGCAGGTTCAAGCTGTGTTTTTTCATTTAATCATGATTCATTAATTTCTTGTGTGCTTTTTAACACCAGCTGATCCAACGAACAAGTTCCCACATTTTTTGCTGCTTTCTCTGTTTTTAAGCGTTTTCAGTGTTAATAATTCTACGGTCTGTTCGAGTTTGCCTACAAGGAAACTGAAGCCACGAAATAATGAAATGGAATGCAGAATATACAGAAAATCAGCAGGTCTTGGTGAATTTACAATGGGAAAAGAATATAGTTTTTACAAAAAAATGCTTTTCTCTGAAAATAAGGATTTTTCCGAGTCAAGAAACTAATCTAGCACTAAGGATACTCTTCCGGTGTCTTGTTCAATGTAAGATTGAACAAAAGTTAATCAAACCTAGATAACAATGACTTCAGGTATGCTAATAATAAAGTTGCTACTTGTGAATTTGCAGGCAAAGTGTGACTTTTAATAACTGAATCAGCGTGATTATTAAATTGTTACATTTTCCCATTTGAATGGTTCGCTGGCAGTTGGAACGACACGGTGCGCCAATAAATCTAGCTCGCATAGCAGTACTTTGAAAGATAACAATGCAAAACGCTAACGCAAGCAACGCTGAATAAATACAAATATCGCAAAAAAGCGAAACTGTCGTTAAACAACTGTCGATTAGTTGTCTCAACCTCAGAATGAGTCAGGTCAACATCACTTGCAGGCGCCCGAGACCAGTTTTGCAAGTCTGCACTCTTTTGCACGGCTTTTATTCTTGGTAGTACTTTTAAAATGCCGTTTTTTTCGTCCACTTTTGCTTTATGGAATTTCATTCAATCGAAGTCACAGCCACCAATAATATTCGCGATATGTGGAAGTCACCGTTTTGTGAATCACTGCCATCAGTTTCGGGTTTTACCGTATCATCACTATTTGTTGTTGATTTTTTTATTCACTTTCCCAGTATCCATTGCTTCATCCTGTGGGCGGTTAAATTCAGCTTTTTCACCATTATTTGGCTGTTCATTTTCACTTCCGACGTTGTACAATGGATACGAAGACAATGAAGAATCCAGCAGTGCGAAGATTATTTGTGGCATCACCAATTGCTCAATTTATAGAAGAACATGGCCTTAACACTTCAATTACTATGTCCATTTGTCCATTATCCATCGACGTAAGTCCGAGATTCTCACGTACCGATTCACAGTGAGTGGAAACCACAAAGAATTAACCACCATTATCGGTCTAAATGCGGCTTTATTAAGCAAAAATGCCATTCTGGCTGGGTTGGCTGGGCAGAATCACCGGCAAACAATAGGCAATCAATTCTGCCAACTTTAATGCAGGATAATTGGTCGGGATTTACAAGAAGGGTGCACTGCTAGACAGGCGACGTCCGATTGTGATTTTAAGTGTTTGCTCTTCGTCTCCCTTGTGTCGAAGAGATCGTTAGTCATAAGTGTTTCTTGGATTTTTATGTTTATTTATCGCTTATATTTAGTGGGTTTTTGCTGCCGGCTTACCCAGTTTATCCTGGCTTTTATGTTAGTTTTGATGCAGACTGCCAATGTGTGAAACTGGTGAATTTTTCCGGTTTTTAGGCCGGAGTGACAAATAATTTATTGCTGCTTACGGAGCGTCAGGAAAAAAATCTTCTTAAAACCCCAAAAGCTCACCACTTTCAAGCAATAGCCGCGAAGGGCAAACTTCTTTAATAATTTACATGCGAGTTCATTTGCACTTTGAAGAAAAAAGGGTCTTCAAGTTGTTGGTGCAGTTTCGTTGACTTCAACAACTCGAGTATCTAAATTGATGTGGGCAATGGATAAAGTTTTGAGAAAACCATAATTTTCTTGCACACCGTGTAGTGTATTTTGGCATCATCAATTTGTGAAACTGTTCTTTCGATCATTAGCGTAAGGACCTATTTATATTATGAGAAAACGAAGCCATAAAGTTAAATTAAATTATATTTACTAAACGAAATAAAGCTGGTTGGCCAAATGATCGCGATCTAAATTTAAATTTAAGTCGCACTTTTTAGCACAATCTTGATGGTTTTGCTGGCAGGCACCATTTGCAAGATTCACTTGGCATTTGTGCTTTTTTTCTACTTGTGAGTAATTGTATATTAATAATGTTAAGCCAAATATTGTATTTGACTTTTTCAGAAAAAAATAGAAACAAAAAAAATTGTTTTCACTTGCAGACCAGCAGCAAATAATTGAGCAAACAATTTATTCAATAATTTCTTTCACATCAGTGGCACTTAATTCAATTCTATACAGAATAACGGAACCACCGCCGGTATTTGCGAAGGTTCATCTCATAGTTCATAGTCCAGTTTTGGTTGTTTTTTGCGTTTCTTCCACTTGCCTAATTAGCTTATTTGAATAACAATTACTGTCCACAACTGCGTTTATGTCCAATCATGATAGACCAACTAGTTGGACGTCTATTGAACTTGACCCACTAGCCGCTTTTCCCCAGGTTATTATTTTCCGATCCAATAATAAGCGTTTTGTAAATGGGGCTCAAAATATACGGTATCGGTTAATACTGTGGGACAACAACATCAACACAGCAATAATATGAGGATTCTGATCAAGTGATGTCATACCAAGCGTTCCGCGATTATCATTATCAATTCAAATTAAGAAATTACTTCATTCGTTCGCGGACTATTGTTAAGTTGTTTCCGTAGTTTTGTAAGATTCGAAGGAAACATTTTTATTTGATGAACAACGTTGTTCGGTCGTTGTAATTGGTTGGATGATTAATTGTACTCGCACCAGCCTTGACACCAATGGTTTTAGGCCTCATGTATTTATCTAGTGACTTTTTTTGTATTATGATTAGAATATGAGACGGATTATTGTTAAATCAAGCAGGATAAAGCTTGTATTAAATCGTTTTCTGAACTGGAACCCCAATGCCTGAAGCGCTGATTTTTCGACAGTAACTAATTGAACTTGGTTTTTTCCATCAAAGTGATCTCATCTCAGAGTGGAAGATTATGGAGTGTTCTTGAGACTTACTACATAAAGTAAACGGGTTGCTTTCACGGATGGAATATCTGCGGTTTTTGCTTTGGCTTGTTTTTAAGAAAACATATATTTTGCTATTTTTTGTTAGTAGAAATCTATCAAGTAAAATGAGCTAATTTACATTACAAGAATCACCACTCCGACTCTCTTTAACTAGTTCAATACTTCGCAGAAGAATCGAGAATAGCGGAAACTGTTCAGGTTATTTTCACATTCCAGATCCATGTTTCTTCATATCTAGACGGTAAATCTCAATAAACTTTCAAAGAAGTTCGGCCGATCGTGTTGCAAGTTTGCTAATAATAAAGAAAATCGGTAATGCAACTTTCCCAAGTGTGAAAACACAGAATCCAGATGAGGAGCAGTTAGAAATTACAAACCATTTAGTTCGTTCTGTTGAAATCCTCCAAATATTTCCAATTCTGCAACATTTCCATTCACCTCAAGGAAGCATCAATTTTATAAGGAAAACACGCGAGACGCTTTAGATCAGAAATAATCGCCACTTTCGGCGCATTTTAAGTGTTTCTGAGCGGTTACTATTTTTAACCAACGATATTTTCCTTAATATAAGCTCAACGCTTTATACATGCAGATTAGAGAGTTTTATAGGTCGGAAACATTCCTCTGAGCTGAAAAAACTCGCATGTGAAAATTTGAGCGAAGATTTCATACGGGGTAGAAGTCGATTTTTCGAAAAAATCTAAATTTTCTCAAAATGCCTCCAATTCTACATCAATTTCATCTCAGGGAAGCGAAGAATGCAAAAAGCTCATTGAAAAATGCGTTTGAAGCTTTCGATCAGAAATAATCGATATTTTTGGTTAATTTTAAGTGTTGCGCGGTTGCGACCTCTGACCAACGATGTTTTTCTTAATAGAAACCAAAATCTTTATATTCTATGCACATTGGGAAGTTTTTTAGGTCGGCATCAATTCATTGGGTTCAAAAAACATGCATGTGGAAATGTTATTAATGGGCGAAAAGTTCATAAGGCCTCAGTGTTAATTTTTCGAAAAAAAAATCAATTCTCTCCAAATGCCTCAAAGGCTACATCAATTTCATCTCAATGAAGCGAAAAATGCAAACAGCTTATTGGAAAACTTGCTGGAAGCTTCAAATCAGAAATAGTCAACCTTCTTCGACTCATTTTAAGCGGGTTTTGGGTCTTTAACCGTCGATATATTTCCTTTCCTAAACAAACTGTTAATAAACCCTGGAGAGTGATATGTAACCGTCCAAAAGCTCAGCATGTCCAATGTTTGGAAAAAATGTAATTATAGTAATTTGTTTAACATTGAACTGCAATTATAATGATTACGTGTGTTATGCGGTCTAGCAGGTTGTTATTATTTGTTTTACTCTATGGTATTACGACATGTACATAATAGATTCCATCAGGTATTTGCAAGTTAAGGACATCAAAGAGCGCTGTGGCAAAGTTTTTCTGTTTTAATTATACCTTTGTTGTCACATGGCAGACATCAAATTTTGTGACTTTTAATGTTTCTTACATAATTGTTTTCGCCTATTTTAAACGATTTTCGTATCTTTTTACCTCACTGTCCTGATAAGAAAATTACAAACATTTTTCTAAATGTTTTAGAGCTCATTATTGTTTGTTTGTGTTCAAATTGTTTTCTCATAACAAAGCTATTTGAGTATAAAATACTCAATTCTTATCATAACAATCACAAATAATTGCCTACGTGTATTTTAAGCAGATTTATAATTACACTGCCTACGGGCTAAAAATAGGCTTTTGATTCAGGAAAAACTACATTTATTTTTCTTTGCTTTCTTTACAATGCGAATGGTAACACGCTCTTTTTTGACTGTTTAAATCAAATTTAACTGGACTGGTGAAAAACTACTGTGAATGGACGCCTTCATCTGTTTATTGTTATTTATTTGCTGTTAATTCTTAAGCATCTTTTTCAGTGTACATTTTATTTGTCTGCACAAAACTGAGATTGTTTTCTTTAGAATCTATTTTTTCGGTACAATATCTGTTGCGGTTTAATGCCTTTAGCTGAGAGAACTACCTAAATAACAAATTATAAATAATACATTTTCATGATTTTAAAGCAAGATCCCAAACTGAATTACGTGTATAAATGTGTTTCTTTGACGTTTTTGAGTCACGTTTCTACCAATCGTTTTACATTGAATTTTTTCAAAACTATTAATAAGAAACATTCCGATTTTAGCAAAATTTACGTTTCAATGAGTCCATTTGACGTTTTAATTGAATTTTGGACAAGAGTTTGACATATTTGAATTAGTTGTAAACCGATTGGCAATGAGTCAATAAAATCGGAGCTTAAAGTTTACTCCATCTACCAAAATTTGTATTTTTTTGAAATGTTGCAAAAAAATTGATTTGAGTGTATGACAGCTTTGAGCTACCCGTTAGTCAATTTTCTATCTGTCAAAGGGCAGCGGGGTTTAAAATTATGCAATTTTCAGCTAAATTCGAGTTTTGTCATTATTCTATAGCAATATCAGTCGCTTTTAATATGAATTTGACATCTTTGAGTTAGTGATGAACCTTTTTGAAAGCTATTTTCGAGTTTTAAAAGGTATTTTTGAGATTTTATAAATACTTTTAATTTGAGTTCCATTTCGAGCAAATATTTGGAACGTTTGAATTAGTAATCAACTGATTGGCGAACTGCTTATTTTAGTTTAACATTTCCAAGTCAATTGTTTGACAGATTTGAACGGCCCTTTAGTGCATTTGCACTCTGTCAAAAAATAACAATGTATTTTACGGCAATAACAGTAGCGTTGGACAATTTTTCGAAACCTTTGAACTTTTGCTGTTCTTTTGGAGAAAATCAATGATTTACAAAAATGTCCGTTTTAATGTTGTCACACAATTGTCTCAAATTTGAGTTTCAAATCTATTTGACGTTTTAATTGAGCTTCGCTCGAGGAGTTTGACATTTTGAATTAGTGATGGAGCGATACGAAATCTGTCAATTACGTTGGAGCTTAAAGTTTTCGGTATCCACCAAATTTTGCTTTTTTTGAACGTAGGAAAGTTAATTTTTAAGTAAATGTTTGACAACTTTGAATTATCGGTTAGTACGTTTTCACTCTGGCAATGAAAATATGGGATTAA